TATTATATGTATATGTATTAAGCTGTTTAAAGATAATCTTCTGTTTACTGTTTGTTTTTATCTTCTTATTTTGTATATATTAAGCTGTTTAGAGATAATCTTCTTCTTTGTTTATATTTATACTTCTGTATATTTATATTTATTTTATATTAATCTTTTCAAAGGAACTCTGCTTCTCTGTTTATATTTATATTTATTTTATGTCAGTCTGTTCACTGTTTATATTTATGTTTATATTTATGTTTATTTTATGTCAGTCTGTTCACTGTTTATATTTATGTTTATATTTGTGTTTATATTTATGTTTATTTCCTTTACTCTTTCTCTTCCTTTATTATCTCTTATTCATGTAATTATATGAATGCTGCATTACTCGCTTACTCTTACTCTGTTTTTTTTCTATCGGATCAGGGAGGGGGATTATGCAGCTGCTTTTCTGCTGCTGCTGCTGCTGCTGCTGCTGCTGCTGCAGGTTGACAAGCTGGGGCAGGCGCGACATCCCTGCATTCGTATTGAAGTGTGGGCAAAGAAATGCGATAAAGGTTTGAATTGCTGCTGCTGCTACTGCTGCTGCTGCTGCTCTCCCTGCTGCTGCTTTTCGTGCTCGCCGTTAGTCTTGCTGTTGCTGCTGCTCATGCTGCTGTTTTATCTGACTTTTGCTGGGTTTATTGTATTTATTATTATTTTGTGTCTTGTTTTATTTCTGCCTGCAGCCATTCAAGAGAAGCTGGCGAAAGATATGGAGAAGTGCTTCGCTACGAAACTCGTGAGTCTCTTCTCTCTGCTGTACTTGCATGCAACTTGCAGCAGCAGCAGCAGCAACAGCAGCAACAGCAGTAGCAACAGGCTTGTTAGCAGCATCAATCTGAAGGGCATTAGCGGCTGTGTGGGGTGGGAATCAATTTCTTTAAGGTGGATCTGAAGATGAAATTGAATATATTTTTATATTATATGCATAATATATATATAATATGCATGGTATATATTATATATGTGTATTTTTATGTTTTACGTTTATTATTTGTTTTGTTTATCTTTCTTTTGTTGTTTTGCATGCAGGACGGGACAATTGGTAGCGCACCGCGGGGCGATTGGAAGAGCCATGCAAGTCGCTGAGATAGAAGGAAGAGAAATAACGATGTTTATTATTATTTACCTCGCACGAGCAAAATGAATCAGAATTTATTATTTGTTTTGTTTATCTTTCTTTTGTTGTTTTGCATGCAGGACGGGACAATTGGTAGCGCACCGCGGGGCGATTGGAAGAGCCATGCAAGTCGCTGAGATAGAAGGAAGAGAAATAACGATGTTTATTATTATTTACCTCGCACGAGCAAAATGAATCAGAAAGAGATAGAGAATAGTAGCGAATTCAATAAAAATAAAAACAAGTGTTTCAGCCTGCTGCTTACTATTTAATATGGATTATTTATATAATCTATATTTATTTATTTATATGTTCGCTCACGCACCTGGGGGGGCCTGGTGTTGTGGCTGCTCTGGAAATCAGTGGAAATGAATGAATAAATGGAGCTGTTAAGAAGACAGAACAAATTAAAATACATTTTCTGTTGTTGGTTTTCCCTTCTCTTGGTTTTTCTCTTTGTTCAAAAAATTGACGTTTCGCCCAATGACATCGCCGGTCGGCGCACATCGCAAGTTGAATTGGAGGGGGAAAGCGGAGGAAAATTGCAGTTTTGCGGCGAGTTAATTATATCAATGGACATAAAATAATTTATAAAGAATATTGCCACAAATCTAATTCAAAATTGTGTTCAAATAGATAGAAAATGCAGATTGTTCAGTGCAGTAGAGTAGATTGAGGTGTACAGACACATGAAGTTTAGTTATTATGTTCGGATTAATGGATGCTTCAGACGTTGCAGTTATATGTTTAGACTATTCTTGTGGATTTCTCCTTAGGTTTTATAAGCCAGTTAATATATATTTCCACCTTCTTTTCTGAGATTTGTCTTCGTATTTCATTGAACTTCGCTGCTGCTATGGCGGCGTCGTCTCCCTGCAGTTTCTCGCTGCTGCTATGGCGGCGTCGTCTCCCTGCAGTTTCAGGTTGAGGAAGTTCTTTTTAGCGGCATTTTGTTCATTTATTTTTGCATCTTCGTTTAATTTCTTCCATTTTATTTGCACGGATGCGGCAAAACCGCAGAGGAAAAACACCCGAACAGCCGCAAACCCCAGAGCAAACCCCAGAGCAACGCCATACAACAAGAACAAATATAGCACAAGGAGCGGCGTCAGCACACAGGCTTCCTCCTCCATCAACCCTCAGGGTATGAATAAATGAATGCATGCATGCATGCACGCATGCAGCAAAGTGATAGTCAGTGCTGGCTGCACTGTTCCTACTCTGTTACTATCTTTTAAAAAGCTACAACAGGATTTCCTCTGCTTCAGGCTACGTTTACCAGCACTTGTGGCAGAAGTAAGCAGCAGCAGCAGACAGCAGACAGACAGACAGATACAAGCAGCTTCTGCTGCATGCACGCATTATTTTTTAACTCGTTTGCAGCAGCAGCAGCCCCGGAAGAACGGGGGCAACCTCAAGTGCTGCTTCACGTTTAAAGGCGAGAGCAGCAGCAAAAGAGTATTCACGTCTTGTTAGCAGTAAGCGCAATTAACGAACAGACAACAAATACAAAACGAAGAATAAAAAGCTTTATATAATATATATATTTTATATATTTCGCTTAAACAATGCAACAGATTACTACAGAGTTACTGAAGAAGAACCCGAAACCTGACGCTCCTGCTGCAGCTGCTGCTGTTGCTGTTGCTGCAGCAGCTGCTGCTGCAGCTGGTGCTGCTGCTTTAGCAGCAGCAGCAACAATAAC